CCTGCACACCCATGTTTATTGCAGTGCTATTCACAATAGCCAAGGTATGGAAACAGCCAAGATGCCCCACTATCGATGAATGGATCAAGAAAATGTGGTATTTATACACAATGGAATTTACTCAGACATGAAGAAGAATGAAATCTTAACATTTGCAAGTAAATGGATGGAACTGGAGAACATCATTCTGAGCGAGGTTAGCCAGACTCAGAAGACCAAAAATCGTATGTTCTCCCTCATATGCAGTCTTTAGATCTAGGGCAAATACACTAATGTTGTTGGATTTGGGTCGCATGACAAGGGGAGAGCACACACGGGAGGTATGGAGATAGGTAGAAAACCAAAACATGTAAGTGTTTGATCTCCCCACTCCAGAGGAACTAATACAGAAACCTTAAAGGGACAGAGGTCAACACGAGAAGGAGGTCAGGAACCAGTGTAAAGATCAGTTAGAGATGAATCAATTCGGGTTGTAAAACACTTGTGCATGGAAGCAATGCTAGAATCTCTCTGTATAGCTATCCTTAACTCAACTATCAAAAACACTTTGTCTTCCTTATTGTGCTTGTGTCTTCTCTTCAACAAAATTAGAGGTAAGGGCAGAACAGGCTGTGCCTGGAAGCGAAGGAGGTTGGAGGAAGAGGGAGGGGGCAGGGACAGGGGGGAGAAACGGCCCAATCATTGTATGCACATATGAATAAATGAATAAAGAAAAAAAGTTTCTCTGATGTGCACATCAAGATTCAATGCTGCTGCTTTCCCACTTGGTTACTTGTGAGCCACTATAGTGAATGTTCATGCAATGAAAGTTTGGGTAGCACGAATAGGTGAATTTTTAAATTCACTTATGGAGCTACAGATACCAGATAAGTACAAATGCCATGAAACCCTTTGGATAATTTTGTGTTTTACTTTTGACATATTCAATTCCTTTTCTTTAAGTCTTTTTGCTTCAAAGTGATATAATGATTGTTTGCTCTGGTTACATTAGTCTGCTAGGACTGTGTAAAGAAAGTACAACAAACTGGGGCTCAAACAAGACATTTATTTCCTCACAGTTTTGGAGACTGGAAGTCTGAATCTCTTTCTATGACTTTAGATAACCATCTTACTGTGTGTTTACATGTTCTTCCCTCTTTGTGTGTCTAGTCTAAATTTCCTGTTCTTATAGCACACCAATCATTTTGGATTAGAACCCATCCTAATGGTCTCATGTTTACTTAATTACCTTGTTTAATGCACTGTCCTCAAATACAGTCACATTCTGACAACTGGAAAGTGGGGATCCAGCAATCAATTCAGCCCATAAATGTCTCCTAGAGTTTTCAGCAGCTGCCTCTGCACACTGATCCACAACCAGCTCTTCTCTGACTAGAGCAGAACCCAGGACAAGGGATTTCTCCTGTAGATGAGTAGACACTCACAGAGAGGATAGACCTCAAAAGCATGAGTGAGTCAGAAACAAGGCTCACTGTGGTCTCCTACTAGGCAAATATAAGAACAAGTTGAGCAGGTTTGCTTGCCAAAGTGGGTGTGGAAGCTTGGTGCTGATAAGCTGTGGAGTCCAGCAAGCATGCTGGTCCCAGAGAAGCAAGATCTTCCTGGTCTGTAGGGGGTAGATTTAGCAGTACCCTGGAGGACACTGGTCATAGAGTTTTGTTGCTCTGGGTCACCCTCTATTTTGGAAGCTGAGTAGGTTCAGTTAGGATGGATACTTCAACAAGGCTCAGACTGAGCTCCTGGGTACAAGTCAGGGCCTCTCATCATTTAGAAACACATGATAGGCAGCAAATTACTCTGTTTCATTTCATGAGAAGCATTAGCTCTCAGACCAGAATACAGACCTGGAATTTCAGTCAGGATTTAACAGGCAGCTTGGTAATGTAGGCCTATGTTTTTTGCTAATTGGTGCGGCACTCTGGTGCCCATGGAAGGAAAGGATCTTTAATTGATGATGCTTTCTTGATGAAAAGAGAGGGAGAAAGAGTGAGGGAAAGAAACAAGACATTGACATAAGAAGAAAAATAATGAGTAATACCACAAGAAGAGAAATGCTAAATGAAAATATGCAAATGCCACTCAAGATGTGTAAGGTACTATGAAGGCTGGGTGAAGGAGGACATTGCTAAGATGGTGTTAGTAAGAGGGCTTCCAGGGCTGGGGAGAACACTATATGACAGGCACGAAGGAGGTGTGTACAGGACTATAATGCCAAGGTGTGGACACCATGGTTATAGTGTGTGTTTGATTGTGAAGATATGGGCATAAAGTAAACAGCCTTGAGTATGGTGTAGAGTAAAGGCGTTTTAACCTAATTCTGTAGATTCAAAGCATCCATTACACTTTTTATATATATTTTTGGTGCTGGGAATGGAACTTGGGACCTTGTGCATATGAGGCAAGTGCTCTACCACTGCTTTAAAGAATTTAATCTGAGATCAGTCAATAACTGGCTGAATACCAGAGGAAGGATAGGTATTCCAGAGAGAAAATGTTGAAAAGGCAAATGAGTCAGGGGATGCTGAGTTGAGGTAAGAATAGAGCCTGCTTCCTTCTGATCACCCTTTTCCCATCCATCTCATGCCCACATGAGCAGCTTGCTCTTGGACACATTCACTCCCCATCTTTCACCTTGACTATTTACACTACAGAGGTTGACCTTGCAAGGATCTGGGCAAATAAAGGAAAGGGGAGAGAACCTGTCCCCTGAGCCACCAGCATGGTTCCTATTAGTGGCTGTGTTGCATCTATGTCCTCAGTGTGTCTGAATAGGGTGACCTTGGGTCCACCAGCAAGTATTGGCTCAGACCCTGTATCACCATGCAGTCCCCAGCCAGCAGCACTTTACTTTAGAGCTTGTAAAACTGAAACCTTACACCCTTCACTTGCAGATGACCTTTCCCAGGACTTGGGTAAGGTTGTGTATAGTGGTGGGTGCACCAAGTCTTATGTGTGCTTTTGTGTGTGAAATTAACACAAGCAAGGTATTTTAAACACAGCCATTGCCTTTTTCTCCTGACTTCCTCTGCCACCTGTTCTGCTTATTGAGTGTAGATAAGTGCACCCAGATAAGTGGAGTGGTGGAAGCCATCAGGGTGCAGTTAGTGGTATGAGGTGCACAATGACTTCAGTAGATGGTGAAGTTCCTCTGATGTGCTTGTCTCACAAGGGCCTGGTGGAGAAGCCTAGAGACCACCCCTTATTTGGGACTCCAAGCCTCATATAAAAGAAAACTAAGCTTTGTCCAATTTAGCAGAATCCTAAAGATACACCTGATATTTCTAATAAGAACTTATGAATTGAAGTAAACTTGGTTAAAAAAAAACTACTTACAATAAAAAGCTATACTAAATAGACATATTCTTAGTTTCTCTCTAAAAATAAACAAAAACAGTGCCATAAAATCATTGTCACAAAAAGATGCAGCCAGAAGACGTGGGGTACATGATTAGGGTGACAGTGAACCAATTGCTGAATTAATAATACCATATCGGGGACCTGGACACCTCTGGACACCTGGTTACAAGATCCAGGTTCTTGGCAAATTAAGCAAAAAACTGAACAAAATGCACAGAAGCAGCAAGTAAAGTGTAAATTTATTACAAGTGGAAATATACTCCTACAAAACAGGATTGGACCTGAGCAAACAAAGTTTAAAGGCCCAATTCTCCTGTTTGTGTTGTAATTTAAAGCCGAAGGTGGGGCTGAAAGGGCTGGGAAGGGCATCGCTCTCAGGATTGACAGCTTTGACACATAGATGTTATATAACTTATTTTTGACTATACATGTCCCTAACAATAATGCATTCTGTTATAATTAATGCCTGAGATGCAGGCCATATGTATGAAGCTTTAAGTAGAGGGTAATGTCTCAAAAAGTCACCTGAGGGCAGGTTCCCCAGCCCTCAGAGCATGCACTAGCTTTGGAGTTTTTTCCTTCTGTACAAACATCCTCCTTTATCAGATATACCAGTTACTGACTTGATCACAAAAAGAGAGATTCAATCTCCCTTTTTGAATTCAATCATCTGGCATTCTCAACCAGATGATTTGGGAAGGGGCATGAATAGGCAGGACTGGGTGTGTCCTAAGGCAGAACTAGGACTAATACCTATTGTCCCCTTCTTGGTCCACCTACACGTTCCTATCCTCCAGCCTCATTAATAATTATGACCTGCTTTTTCCTGGAAGTTTTTATTTTTGTGGTACTTTCAGTCTTGAAATATTTGCAATGTGTTTTTCTCATGTGAAATAAATATTTATTTATAATAATTAACATTAATAATTTATATTAATTATATATAATATTTTATGTTCTTTCCCTAAAAAGAGCCCCAGGTTGCATTAGCTTCAGATGACAAATCCTGGAACTGCTCAGGAGAGCAATCTGGCCCTCTGCTGCAATAGGCGTTCTCTTGGTTTTCTGCCACTTTACCATCCTGTAACCAACCCTTCACAACCCACCCTAGCTGAAGCAGTCTCGGTCCTCTTCACTCTGATAAGTCTCCTCTACTCTGGCAGATTCTTCTCTGTCCTGATAGGGTCCTCTCCACTCTGATATGGTCCTATCCATTCTGACACAGGCCCATCTACTCTGATACAAGCCTCTCCATTCTGATAGGGTCTCCCCATTCTGTTGTGGTCCTATCTACACTGAAATAGGCCTATTCACTCTGGCATAGGCCTCTTTGTTCTGATAGTATCTCTCTACTCTGATGTGGTCCTATCTACTCTGATACAGGTCTCTCCACTCTGACTGGGTCTCTCTATTCTGATAGGTCCCCTCCACTCTGCTATGGATCTCTCTGAGTGACCCACCTTCTGCCTCACAGCCTGAGGACCGGTGGAGGTTGGAAGGAGGCCAGCCTGCACAGAACTTCATACAGAAGGCCAGAGTGACTTTGAGGCCTGCCTCCCTTGTACCAGTGGTGCAGAGCAGGCCACATGCCACTTCACCACTCTTCTACCTGCACCCTGAGGTCTTTCCATAAACCTAGCACAATGTCTAGCACCCACAAGGGCCCAGATGGTACAGTGGGTGAAGAAATCTTAGTAATGGAGGAGGCTGGGGAGAAGGTTCTGCCAAGGATGCCTAAGCTCAGAAAAACCCAGGAAGAGGGTTTTGTGGCCCTAGTGTGGGCTCTAGAGAAGACTGCAGGCTAACTCCAAATCCCCGTCCTCCAGGACACATTGAGGAGATATGTATATAAATATATATTTAGTTATACTTCCATCACTGATAAGGAAGAAATAAATAAGGCTTTATTCTAATCATTACATACCACACGTTTTTACATAAGAGATTTGAACAAGTTTTAATTGGCATAGGTCTGTGACAATTATTTTGTAAAGAAACCTGAGAGCAGCTTCTTTCTTTTTTGAGGCACTCTGAGCTCATCCAGGTTAGGCTTGTGCTGTAGCATGGAGCACACCCCCACAGAGGCTTTGTTTACTTACTTGTTGATCTAACAGATGCCAGACAATGTGCCAGTGGGCAGGGGTCCATTGCTGGCAAGAGGCTCTGCCCACCAGAAACTTGTGTCTCCAACAGCCATGGATTTCAAGCACTCTGTCCTTTATTAATCTATCTCTTTTTTTTTTCCAACTTGTCTCTCATTGGCAAAGGGAGGGAGAAAAGTATTTTGGAATTTTTAAAAATTACAGATGGATATTATTAAGAAGTACAATTTTTCTTCTGTTTTGTCAAAATGCTCCACATGGCACAGTAATTCATGGCTTATTTGGGAATCATTAAGCCATCCAATTACTAAAACAAATGATAAGCATAGGCCCTTTACCAACACAACAGCTTAAATGGAGGAGGATTCTGTAAAATTTTCACCTGTTACATTTGTTAGTATTTCAGATACATTAATTTGATTAGCATTATAAATTATATAAAATGTTTATCTTTAGACAGACATTGTAAGAATTTTTTTTTCTTCCTCTACAGAAAGGAAGGATGATTAATGCCATTACAAAGGAAGTTTATGAGAGAAAGAAAATATTTCTTTGTGAGTGGGAAGTGTTTCTCCAACATTTAGTCAAATGTAGACATAATAAAACATCCACATCATACAGTCTTACACCCTCTGAAGTTGTAGTCTGTGGCAGGATTTCAGAATGAAGAGCAGGCTAGCTTACCCTGCCCCCAGGACATCACCAGGAGCTTCCGACTGCTGTGAGAAAATTGTCAGGGGTGGAAGCAACGTCTGTCTCTGAGAGCCTTAGCTTCATAGATAATTTCTAAACACTACATGTGAAATTCAAACATACTGCTTCTTTCCAATGGTGGAAAACAGGACATATGAAGTCATTCTATCATGTCCTTCTTGCAAAACTAAGACAGAAATAAGTGAAATGAAAAATTAGTTTGAACAGTGAAACGCTAGCTCTATGCAATAATGTGGAAACACACATGTTAGAGTTGAAAGGGTGCTCACATTTAATCTGATTTAGGGCTTCTATTCTGCCAATGAGGAATCTAGGGCTAAAGAAGATAAGTGACATCACAGTTTGTGAACATAGGAAAGTGGAGTCTGCACTGGAATTCATCTTTTACATGTAATAAGTCAAACACAGATTTCAGCTGCTGGAGCCCCTCTCAATCACACCTAGAAGCAGATTTTGACTATAGAGGGGAGAATAATTGGTACTTAGTTGTTGTGTGGAGTGCATGGTTACTTGTTGTCTTTAACCTCAGTTTGTCATCTGCAAGGAAGGGTCACTGTTGTCTCTGTCTCAATAATGCAGGTCCCTGTTATAAAATGCACTTGTACCTCCTAGGAGGATCTTCAAGTAATACATCCTACCTTGCAATACAAATTCATATCTGCATTTTTTAAAAAACTGTCTTAAGAAGAAATGGTACAAACGTGGCATTAATATATAGTATTGAGATTAAATTCAGAGAAAACAAGACTTGAACAATTTTAGATTTCTTACATACTGCATCATTCAGGGTCTTTACAGAGAGTATTGATTGTTTTGATTTCATTGATCCTCTTGGTGGGCTCTATCCATGCTTGGAAGAACATTGTCATCCTTCTTCCTGTTCCTTAACCCAACAAACCAGCATTAAAGGGGAAGGAGTTAGGTGTTATAACTATTAGGGAGTTGCTTTAAAGTGCATTGAGAGGATATGCATAGGTTATATGCATATACTATGCCCTTATATACAAGAGACTTGAACATCTGAAGATATTGTCATCAATGGGAGTCCTAAAATCATTTTCCTACAGATACTGAGGGATGGCTACATGTACATACATGTCCTGATGGAGACGTTAAGTCTGGCATGGCTTTTCTTGGTCCTTTTATCTACAACTGGAAAGAACAGGTAGATAAGTTCTCTACCTCCACATGTACAGTATGTACACTAGGACAGAAAAGATCTAGAACACTACAATCAATCCCTTCTGGTCTGCAGCAATTACAAGACCCCATTGAGCAGCTCCTGGCTGGGCTCTGTCCCCAGGTGAAGGGGTAGGGTATCTTCTTCGATTACTGATAGTTCTGCACCGAGGAAGAGGTCCCTGAGGACTGTTTATTCCATGACTCTTGACTCTACTGTCTGGGAGTTTAGTTTTTCCATTAACTGTTTTGGTCATTGTGAAGTGGGCATTAGAGGCTCAGCTTCCTTGGGAATTCAAAGCAGTTTTTCCAGGCTGCTGTTCATCCATGAAAGATGTAAGTGCAAAGGTACAGTTAACTTTCAAATAGTCACTTTTCTTCTTGCCCTTCAGCTCCTTTGACAGAATTCTAAGTCATAGCCAGCTTCTTACTTGTTAAGTCAGTTCTCAGCCACCTCTAGATGACTTATGTCTAATACAATGGAAATGATTTACACACAGTTGTCATACTCTTGTTATTTAGCAAATAATGACAATAAAAAGCCTGCACATGTTCAGTACAGGCATGGTTTTTTTTTTTTTATAAATGTTTTCTATCCTCAATTGGTCGAATTTTCAGACATGGAACACACAGTGAAGGAGGGCCAGCTGCACAGGTAACTTGGCCCTGTCAGTCTTCAGTGGAGAAGCCACACCTGAGTCTCTTCTCCTTGAGCCCTAGCTGCATAATGAAGGATTTTGCAGGGCAACAACTTCAGAGGTTTAGCAATAGGTTTGATTATCTCTGCAAAGCTGATTCATTAGGCAGTTCTGGATGACTCCTTCCTGATGGGATAAGAAGCCTTTGCCTGGACTCTGAGTTGGTTTTCTCTGTCTCTTCTCTTTAAACTGCCTGGTTCTGTTCTGAGATCATTTCTTTTCTGTGATAACTTACCAAACACAGCCATTAACAGTCAACACATGCTAATTAACACCCTTTCCAACCTCTTCTCAAAGAGCTGCATGCTGTTATACACGTTCTGCCTTATTAGAGGGGTCAGTTTTGGCAAGCATTTTACCCACACATGGCACCCAGCTCCCAGCCTGCAGTCCCACTTTCTTGACCCCGATGTGGAGGTGCCAGTTTTAGTTTTGTTTTTGCATTCTTTCAATTCCATTTTTGCATCAGTCAAGTATATGCTAGGTTTAAAAGGGGGAATAACACACACACACACACACACACACACACACAGTTGCATACACTTCCTTCCAGACGCTCCATCTCTGTCAGGTCTGGGTTTGGCATAAGCCACTGAGAGAGATGTGTTGTGTTAGAAGGCATTTAAGAGGCAAAAGCCATTAATCCACAGAGGAATGCTTGGCAGACATAGGACGACAGAAGGACCTTCTGTCTCTAACTCCTGCTATGATTGTGGGTTCCCATTGAGTCAAGGCTTCTGCAGAAGCTCCCTTGATGACCTGCCCCCAGCTGCTGCCTCCCTGTCATTTCCTCCCCCAACTGCTCAAAGGCTTGTTCAAGGTTCAGCATCCCTGCACCATAATTCCCCTCACTGAATACTTCTACACTACCTTATTCTTTTTCTGTTGTTGTAACAAAATTTCTGACACTGGGTAATTTATAAATAGAAGTAGATTTGGCTCATGGCTCTTTGGCTGGGAAGTCCAAGGAAAGACTGCCATCTGGCAAGTCCTTCTTCCTGCATCATAACATGATAGAGGGCATTGCATGCAAGACAGAGCAGGAGTGCTAGCTCAGGTCTCTCCCTCTTCTTATAAAGCTAACAATGCCATCATGGGGGCCCCACCCTAATGACCTCCCAAGTGCCCCACCATAATATGAATTTGGAGATTTCCAGCACATGGACATTTGATGGAAACACACACAAATCTTAGCAGATGCCTTTTGTTTTCTCTGGCTAGAGTCTTAATTGATGTTTCAGCCTTATTTTTTCTGTATGGAATATGTGACCATCAGACAACACCATGTTTTACCTTAACAATTTGTGTAAAGCCTGTTTTCCCTGATTAGAATATAGCTCTCTGAAGGCAGAGAGTAGTCTTACTGACATAGTTTTGGGTCTCTGGTGGTTTGTATGGTTAGTGGAACTAAGCAGTATGAGCGAATAGATGGATTAATAGGGGCCAATTGAATTATAGATCAGTTTGTTGAATTACCTAACTTAGAAAGTTTCTTTAACTGGAAACTCAACAGGAAGGGTAACTATGGGATTCATTAAGAGTTACTTAATTCATACTCTATAAAAGCAGTAAAACCATAATGTCTAATACAGAATGGAAACTATGAAAAGTATCAAGTGATGGCCCCACATACTTCTTACTCCGAACTGACAGTAGTTCTTTAAACTGTGATTAGGGGAATGGCATCTGAGATGGGCCAGTCTGAGATGTTTTTTAGGTCCTAATCCTGGTATCAGTCCTGTTCATCTAATGGCCATGGCAGAGTCTTATTGGGCCTGTGAACCCTGGAATGGCCTCCAAGGCTGCAACTTTGCCTTTGTCACCTGTCTCCCTTCAACCTTCTCTAGGAATCAGCATGTTGCTTGGGTTTTTGTTCTCTCTACAGTTTTCCTGTTTGTTTTGGGTTATGTTGTTTGAGAAGAATCTTGAATTATAATAATATTAATAATGTGTTATTATTACATGAGCTAATGTTTATGGATCATTTGCTCTAGGTTAGACACTAGGGGTTTTACATTTAATCATTTCCTTTTATCTTTATAACACATTTAGGAGGAGGACACTATTTTCCTCATTTTACAGTATACAGGCTCCGATACTCTACACTAAATGTCAAAGTTTGGACTTGTGAACATAGGGTCAGAATCTACACTTAGAAATATATTCTACTGTCTCTTTCAACCCCTCATCATATTTTATATATATTTATAGCAATTTAGGAAGCAATATATGTTATTTCACATATCCTATCTTACTGGTAATATTGGTTATCATTTGTTGAGCACAGCCATGTTGAGCCATTTACTATACTGAGCACTCACAAAGGCAGTATTGAGGTAGTGAGAACTGAAACATGGTGATAAAACAAACTTTTGACAAAGAAAACAAATATCTACAAATAGCAATGTCTATGGATACCTAGAAAGGAAGGTTTTCTTTAATGAAGAAGACAATAAGATTCCACAGAAAATTCACCAATAGAATTCCATTGTCTTTTTTTTGTTTTTTGCTCTGTTTCAGGAATACCAAATTGATATATTTTTTGCTCAGACCTGGACAGACAGTCGCCTTCGATTCAACAGCACAATGAAAATTCTTACTTTGAACAGCAACATGGTGGGCTTGATATGGATCCCAGACACAATCTTCCGCAACTCTAAAACAGCAGAGGCTCACTGGATCACCACACCAAATCAGCTCCTCAGAATTTGGAATGACGGGAAAATCCTTTACACTTTAAGGTAAGATGCTATGTGTAAATTTTTTAATTGGTACATAGTATTTGTACATATTTAGGGGGTAGAGTATGATAATTTGATACATGATTATAATGTGCATTGATTAAATCAGGATAATTAGCATCTCCCCCCCAGTATCTCATTTCTATGTGTTTGGACACGTAATAGTTATTTTTGGACTAAGAGATAATTTGAAATGGATCATAAATAGTAAATCAAGTCACCCTATTTTACTATGGAACACTAGGTATAATTCCTGCTGTTGAACTATGTGGATCTTTAATTATTTGTGGTCTAATTTTGGATCCTTAATTTAAATTATTATTGAGATAAGCCCTATTTTCATCTCTAGGTTCTATTGTTTGTTATGTTAAACATGAAAAAGTTTGTCCTAAGGCCATGTGTATAAAAATAAAGAAACACAAATGATTTTCAAGGAATACAAACTCTTCCTTCATCAGAACCCATTTTCTGATAGAAGTTAACTATGGAAATTACCTTTTTTAAAATCTTTAACCCCATTACCCACTCATCCAGGAAAATACAGATGTCTGAGTCCAAATTAACAAATGTGGCCAGATTTGAGACCACCAGGACAAAGGGCAATGGGGTTTCCCCAATGCATCCCTAAGTGAAATGGCAGAGACCCTGCAAGGAGTCCTCCTGGAAGCAGGATGGTCCACACTGCAACCCTGAGAGGTGAGAGAAACTGTGCTGCAGAGAACTGACTTGACTTGCCAAGGTCACTGCAGGGAATAGTGACTGGAGTTTCTCTTAAAGTCTCCACCTTACCAGTGTGGTCTGAGCCCAGCTGAATGATTACAGCAGTACCTTGCACCTTAGCCAGCCTTTGTGTTTGCCCAGCTCTGGGACCAGCAGGACAGTGCCCTCCAGCTCCCTCTGAGGGGTGCAGAACTCCTCAGGGCACTGCTCTCCATCTTCCTGGTCTCTCAGAAACTCTTGACACTCAGATCTGATTCACCAGGCTCTCTGTCCCTGCCTTTGGAGGCCCACAGCTTCTTCCTGTGTTTCCTGCCATTGCCCCTGTGGGTGTGTCTCCTCATTCTGCTCTTTCCTTCATAGGACCTGGCTACCACGACCTTACACACTCCTGCTAGCATGGCTTGTCTGTTCCCATGATGTTAAAGCTGTTTCTGTGCTGTATTCCCCTGTACCTGTTTATTTTTGGAATCTAAGGTTGTTCTGCTTGCCGTGCTACTGAAAATCTAGGAAGCAGAAATCAGTGGAAGGAAAGAGATTTATTCAAGCTGCCCTGAGGAAAATAAAGGAGACTTTTCTGTCTCAAATTTCTGTTTTTGAGGGATAAACGAGTGGGCAGGAGGGGTAAAGGAGCTTGGGGGAACATAGTGGGCTTACACTGAGACCATGGGCGGGAAATCCCCATTCTGAGTGGGGTCATTCTCTCCAGAGCTCCTTCTGCAATTTGTGAAAAATGGATTCAGACCCGAGACTTCAACCTCCTGGGCCAGCATCTGCATTTTCTTTCCAGACTAACAATTAACTTTTCTGCAAGTCAATTTATGTGAACTAAGGAGAAAAGGAGGTGTTAGAAAGCCTCTCTTTAGAACTTAGAATGCCATGTAAAAGGGATGGGTCCTTGAAAGTTGAGAAAAGGATTAGGGAAAAAGGCTGAAGTAGCCCTTTACCCTGCTTTGTTACAGCTTGGGGATCCAGGTTCTTAGAGGCAGCTACCTACCTCCTCCCAGGCTAAAGGGCATTTCAAATTTAGTATGGCTTAGGGAATATGATTTCTCTTCTTCCTTTGACCATGTCTCCATATCTTAGTTTAGTGGCCTTACCACAAGCTCCCTCAAGAACCCTTTCCTTATAGCCCCTAGCACTCTCCTCCTTCACCCCACATCCAGTATTATAAGCTTTTAATCACAAGTGATTTGTGGCCCTGAAGAAAAATCTGTGATTTCTAATGGTAAAGTGTCCATAGCATAAGCAGGAGATAAGAGAATATGAAAATATCAAGGAAATGATCATTTTGCAGACAGGGAACAACAGTAAGAAGAATGAGGCCACAACAGGAATGTTTGCTGATGAAATACATTGAGAGTTTGTAACAAGTCTCATTCTTACTGTTTTAGGATTGATGAAGCAGTAAGAATGTGACTTTAAAGTGAGTTGATTCTGAACAAACTAGAATAGAGATATGGCCTATTATCTTTTTATAGGCTTTATAGGAGCATTGACATACAGGCATCTGCTCTGTAAGTATGCAAAATGCCCACTTAGTAGAACCATGACCTGCCACATGAAATAGCAGAAAATTGTCCAAGTAGGACATCCCCCCCCTGCAAATGGATCATTTTGGCATAAAAATACCTATTTAGGCTAACATACCAGTTTCAAATACAGGAAGGATTTCATTCAAACAGATTGAACACAAGGACTTCTAAAACAACAGGTTTTTCTTTCTTTCTCCTCTCTGAGTTGGCTTGTATTTTTAGACACAGTTGGGATTGTATTAACTGGAATTCTTTCTAGTACTGATAGTTAAAAGCAAAACAAAAGAATACAAAAGCAATCAAAGACCTTTGCTGAGTGAACAGTGCAGTTGCCAAGCCTGAGTTGCCTGTGCTGGGCACTGTATCATGTGACTGCCCTCGGTCTCCTGCATGCGGTACCTTACCTGCCCCACCCAGCCTTACCTAGGGTTCTGGCTGTATTGTTGCAACCCCAAGAGTGGTGTGTGGCTCTTCCACAGGCTGACCATCAATGCCGAATGCCAGCTGCAGCTGCACAACTTCCCCATGGACGAGCACTCCTGCCCACTGATCTTCTCCAGCTGTGAGTACACCTAGCCTTGGCATGGTTTCTGGCAAGCAGCTGTGCAGTTGGTACAGTGTCACTGCACAACCAGAGAGAGTTGATAATGGTTTCGATATTGGCCACATGGGTGTTTTTACTCTAGATATTATTGGATGGGATATATGTCACAAAATAGGTGACTTTGATAAAGCAGTGAGCAGCTTCACTATCCATGGTAGTACTGAAAAATTCAGAAATTGATGACCATTCACTTACCAAAGACCCTTATACTAATAAGCTATGTATATTCTTTGTAAGTATATGAAATTCTTTTGCAGTATATTGAAATGTAATATTTTAAGGCAAGATGATTTTTCTTCTAAATGGGAAGATAAAAATTCCTCTTTAAATATTTTTATATTCATCTCATTGAACTATGGTAAGATATACTTTTTCATAGCCTTTTTTTTTTATATGACTGGGGTTTGAACTCAGTGCTTAACACTTACAAAGCAGGCGCTCTACCACTTGAGCCACACCTTCAGTCCTTTTTCACAGCATTTTACCTTCTCATATTTTATCTTTTACTTGTGATTGATATAGCCAACAAGCAATCATTTCTAAATTGTTAAAGCCAATATTTAACACTAGGTACAAGTGTACATATAAAGGGAAATACCAAATTTATTTGCTTACTTCTGAAGCTTTTAAGTAAAGGTCAATATGGTAATATGTGTTGAATTTATTATGTTTTTTGTAAATATATTAATCACAGGTACTTATGTATGACTCATGAGAATTTGATTAACTTTATTGGTTTCCTTGAAAACCCGATGAAATCCCAGGCAGACGTTTTTGTGTGAAATAAGGTGTGAACACACTTTGCAGTTTATTTGAATTTCAGAAAAAGACAAGATAGAAAGCAAAATTGCACTCGTCTCCTAGACTGGGTGGAAATTCATATGTAAAGAATAGTGTAATAAGTTCACTCTAAACTTTTTTTGTTTGTTAACAGTACAAATTGTCAATGCCTGGCAAGCAGATGAGAATGAGCATGGCGACTAGGAAACCTGAGTTCAGATCCATTTGGGCCAATGGTTTCTATTTATTTAGTTAGTTCAAAAATTATAGAACCATCCAAATTATCAAGTTTCTGAGTGATTTGTTCACTTCATAGTTTATTATCAAGTCAAGCTTGTTCTGTTGATACTTCCAATAGATATTATGTTAACTCATCTATTGAGTTTTTAATTTCAGTGGTAATTTTACTCAATATTAGACATTCTGTTTGTTCCTTTTCTTAGTCTTCTATTTAATTTTGCCAGCCTTTGATTTCTTCACCAAATTTTATGGATATTCAGAAGTATCCACATCTTTGTGGAACATATTTACACAATTCTTTATTCAGTTCTTTGTTAATTTGCGTTCCTCTCTCTTGGAACATTTTTTTTTGGCGGGGAGGTGGACTGGATTGTGAACTCAAGACCCCATGCTTGCTAGGCAAGTGCTCCTTCACTTGAGCCACAATTCCAACCTGTTTTGGTTTTGGTGGGACTGAGGTTTAAACTCAGGACTTCATAAAGAAGGTGCTTTGCAGCTTGAGCTATGCCTCTATCCCTCCTCCAACCTTAATATTCAGATAGGGTTTTGTGGTTTTGTCTGGGGCTAGTCTTGGAGAGCAGTACTCCTATCTATGCCTCCCAAGCCCAACTATGGTTACAGGAGCAACTCTGCCATACCTGACTTATTGAGATCTTGCTAATTTTTTTCCTAGCCTCACCTCAAACCTCTACCTTTTTAATCTCTACCTCCTAAATAGCTGGGATTTCAAGCACGCACCACTGCACCCAGCCTTCTGGGACTTTTTCTGCGTATTTATTTGCAGTTTTATTTAAGGGAGCTTCTTCTAAAGATGGCTTGCTCTGCCTCTGCCTGATGTCTCTTTCACTTTATTTTTTTATTCTAACATATTAGGCTAAATAATACTGTAGTCACCTCTACTACCAAGCACACATTGACTAGAATTTTAAATTCATGCTACTAATTCACTATTTTGTGGTGTGAAATTTATGCTGGTGATTTCTTTTTTTAATCCCTATTATTGAAGTATAATTTTCACACATTAAAACACACCTATTCCCAGTAAAGTTCAATGTGTCCTCAGAACTGAATATACCTGCATAAAGGTACAAGCTATATAACACCCTGGCCATGGCAATCATTGATGGGGTTTCCATGGCTACAGATTAGCGGTGCCTCTTCCAGAATTTCACATTTTACGACTGACTTCTTTCACTCAGTAGGATGAGATTCACACATGTTGGTACATGTATCAATAGTTCCTTTTTCTATCACTTTAAGGTTCAAGTCTGGGCACCTGGATCATATACATGGTGTGAGTTCTAGCTACATACATGCCTTTGTGACTTCAGGTTTGAGGTTATAAATCATTAGGAGAGAAAACCTTTTTGCTTTTACATTCTTTCCACTGGATAATAGAGATCCTTCTGGGAAGCGTTTCTCCAGAGTCCTCTAGCTATTTTCTTGCTTCTATAGTCCTACTTTTAATGGGATCTCTGGCCACCCTGCTGGGACCTAGCCCTGATTCTGGTCTTGTTTCTCAATTGTGTGGGGCCCTTTGAACCCAGGATCCAGCCCAGGAAACTGACAGGGCCCCTGTGTGCTCTAATGCAGGCATTCTCCTCGGAATACTTATTTTTCTCTCTGGTGGTTTTCCTCACTCGCTCTTGCTTTCAAATGTGTTTAAATATTTTACAAAGGCTTTTAAGCATTCTGTTCCAGGAGGAGATTTTCTGCGCATAAGGTTTGAATACTGCCAGAAAGGAGAGTATGGGTTGTTTTGTGGAAATGAAGCAACATTCTTAAAGAGAATTCATACATACAACATTCAGGGAAACGCTAACCTAAAACCTTCACTGCCAATAACGTCCATCTGTAACTATTTGAGAATCGTCATAAAGTACTAGGAAAACATCTGTTGTGATAGGAAAACTAGTTTGTGAGAGCAGCCATATTTATTTCCATGTCTTTGGAAGGTTGTGTGTATGTGTGTACTGGCAGGGTGGGGGGAGTCAGAGTGAATGTAAAAGCCAGGCAATGGAGAGTCTTATATTCACTGTCTGAAAGAGACACTTTTAAGATGTAGGCAGATAAAAGCTATTACCTCTGAAAATCAGGAGATGGAATGATCAAATTTATGTTTGGCAACAGCATAAGAGAAATTTGAGAAGGACAAAACTGGATGTAGACCACTGCACACTCATTGGAATGGCCCAAATCCAGAAAACTGACACCTTCAAATGAGGTTGAGAACATGGAGCAACAGGAACTCTCCTTCACTGCTGATGGAAACACAAAATGGTAGAGCTACTATGGAAGATAGTGGGTAATTTCTTAGAGAATTAAATATACTTTCACTATATGATTCAGGATTTGTACTCCTTGGTTTTTATTCAAAAGTATTGAAGATGTATGTCTACACAAAAACCTGCAGGCAAGAGTTTATGATAACTTTATTCATAATTGCCAAAATTTGGAAGCAACCAAGAGATCCTTCAATGGGTGAATAAATAAACAAACTTTATTCCATTCTCACTTTGGAATATAATTTAGCACTAAAAAGAAATGATCTATCAGGCTGTGAATACACAGAGAGCAACCTTAAATGCATGTTGCTAAGTGAAAGAAGCCAATCTTAAAAGACTATGAAGACTATGCACCATTATGATTCCAACTATATTACATTCTTTGAAAAGGAAAAATTATGGAGAAATAAAAAGATGAGTGGTTATTAGTATTGTGGGGATGGATGGGTGGAACATAGAAGATTTTAGGGCAGTGAATATAATACTCTGTGATACATGGCATACATCATATATAATGGTGATACATGTTCAAATTAAATTAGGGGCTAGAATGAAGCCCCAAGTTGGAATGCTATTCCAACAATATTCCATACAATGTACAACAGCAAGAGAGAACACTCATATAAACCACGGACGTTGGGTGGTGATGAGATGTCAAGATGGGTTCCTTGATTGTAGCAAACACATCACTCTAGTGGGGGCTTTTGGTAGTTGAAGAGGCAACAAGTAGGAACAGGGAAAGAAATATATGGGACCTCTGCATTTCATGCTCAGTGAATTTTTCAGTGAATATGAACAGCTCTTTAAGTCTAGTAAAGAAAATAAGTATCTAGAGAGACAGGAGTAATGTAGGAATCTATTCTGATGATAAATGATAATGCCCTCTACAGCCATATTATAAAATAAAAAATAACTTGGAACCCCAAAATATCAAATTGTGATTTAAAGTATAAATTTGTTAAGCTGATTTATATATATAGCATTCATTCATATGTGTCAGATTAAGGTTTCATAAATAAAATTTGGAACACTGCTTTAATGAAATAGGCCTCTAATAGTTTGGCGTTATAGAGGACAATTCTAGCTGTATCAGTTTGGTGTCTAATTTGTTTCTCACTCATGAGTGTTTATTAACAGAAAAAAATTCTGACCATAATACTCATAAGCAATTGAAAATGAAATGGTGTGTATTGCAATATTGTGCTTGGAACTTTCCAGTGAAATACAATCAGAAGCTTAATTTTTTCCATTTTATAATAGAAATAATTGAACAACTTCATATTTCCTATCATACATATAAAAGCTAATAAAACTATGCAAAATGTATAGTATGATTTGACATGATCATTAAAATGATAGTAACATCTTTCTATTGATTTGAAAAAATGTGTACCTTTAATTCTTCATTTCACAAGTTTATTTTAAAAATAATTCCTTTTCCTATTGACCTTATTTTGTTTAAATATCAGCATTATGAAATACATGTTCCTATTTGGCTGATTGGTCAGTATTTGTTAGCTAGAACTTTTTTAACTCCTGATTTTACCTCCAGAAGTTTTATGGCTTTTGAAAATTTAGCTTCAGCAGAGATGATTCTTGATTTACAATGCCATTGTGTCCAGATAAAACCTGGTAAGTTGAAAATATCCTGAGTCAAAAATGCACTGAATACAAGTAACCTACTGACCATCCTGGCTTAGAACACAGTACATGTAGAGGGCTGTTGTTTCCCTAGTGACTGCATGGCGGATTGATAGCTGCTGGCGCCCCACATCACCACAGAGGAACAGTGCATGTCACTAGCCTGTGAAGAAATCAAAATTCAGAATTGGAAGTATGGTTTCTACTGAAGGCATATTGCTCCCATCATAAAGAAGAAAATTAGCAAGTCAAACCACCATAATAAGTGTGGAAGTATCTGTATACCTTTAAGTAAACAATGCAATATGCACAGATGTAATCTGTTTCTAAGTCAAATACAGGCTGGCAGAATGGCTCTAAGTCAAATACACAATGATAACAAAATATTAAGAATTCCATGGTGCTATACTATTATTTTTTCAAAGATAGAAATTTACACACACACACAAACACACACACACACACCACACCACACACCACAAGCATATGCACATATCTTTCTGTAAACTGAAAAGAGTGTTTGATGGACCTTAAAGTAATATGTTTTGTTGCTTAGTTTGAGATACAGAAAATTTTAAATGCAGAGCCAGTATTCATTGACAATTGTTCAAATTAAATTAGGGCCTAGAATGAAACCCCAAGTTGGAATGCTATTCCTTTAATCTTTCAGTAGTAAAAGAGTGGCACTCTACTGCATGCTGTTTATTTGGGGACATAACTGCTGATGACATCAGTGACATCATGGCAGCATCTGCCCTTTGCCATGTCACTGAGATGTTCTATAGAGAGAGCTGTGCAAGCAGTGTGTATAACTGCCCATCAAACAACAATAAAATGGCAACTGATTAAGTTGGATATGTTGGCAAAAAAATTAACCATAAACTTACCTTGGCCCTTAAAAATTGTCTCCAAATGAGTTGAAACTTTAAGTTACAAAAGAACTTACAGTCACAATAAATTAGAAAAAAATAGGACAAAAGCTTTATGACCTATGACTAACAAAAACATTTGTAGATTTGATACCAAAGCATAATCTAT